GAACATTTGACGCAGTGTCAAAATACCGCATGGTTTTACTCTCATACACACTTTCCTTGTGGCTGATTAATGATGCGTCTTCTGCATCAGTACTTACTGAATGGGCATCATCACCAAGAGTTCCATGCGGGGCTAACCATCTGTTATTTGATTCGTTATATCTCGACTCAGTAACCTGGCTTTTATCAAGAGGATCTGCTCGGGTAGATGCATTTGTAGGTTCTCCTTCACGATTTATGTATCTATTTTGTCAATGTCTACAGTTTTCTCGCAGCTTTTGCTTCTAATTTTGACGTACTAGCTATATCTAGATTATGTGTCTTATGATGACAGCTTGCTTAAAGATGTTTGTCACTTCCGCACATGTTACACGCTGAAATTTTTTATCAATGTACGAGCACTATTTTGGTGTTTGGCACCGCGGTCCACACCAATTCTGTGACTTTTCCTACAAAACTCACCTACCTTTTCATGTTCACATTGTTTGCTTAAACACACTCTCTTTGTATAGTGGACGTAGCATGAACCAGCTCACGAACTTGAGCCGCTGTATATATTATAGGGTCTGCAGCATTTTAGACCGAAAACTTAAGACACTCAAAATCGATCTGATCTGATAGTTCAAGCAGCATGTCAACCATAGTATGATCTTCCACCGTGTGCTTTAACTTAACCAATACCAATTTAAGGCTAAACATCTTGCACATTTGTAGATTCACATCATCTCCAGGTGTAAGCTTGGTATTCCAAAGCTCATATTTCAAGCGACGAATCGTATATGTCCTGATTGCTTCGTTCTACTTCCCTTTATTTAGACGGAACAGATCTTTCCCCATGTCCGATATAATCTTCATGTGCATATCTCTAAAACAAATTATGAATGCATCGACGTGACAATCATTCGCATGATCTTATGCTTTTTTCCGCGAGTTCTTCTTGCGGATCTGCGGAAGCAGTAGCAAACATTGCCTTTGTCAAGTCACCAACTGCAATATCGTTGGGGTCGTTTATCTAAAAGAAAGTTATCATCGCACGTTTGTACTTCTGCCAATCCTTGCCTTCCTAGTTCTTCGGTACCCCTTCACTGGTGTACTTCATCAGTGTTGGGCTCATAAACTTGTGAGAATGTGTGTTAGCTCACATGATTGCTTGATAGAAGGTAAAATGAAGGTAAAATGAAGACTAAACATATTTGTGGTGGTACCGGCTGGTATTATTTCCTATTATTACGGTGTTACTCGTTCTCATATAACGTCCTTACCAGTCCTAACGGTGTTCTCCGTTCTTACCTAACAACGTGTCCTTTTCCATGCAACGTCCCCACCAGTCCTAACGGTGTTCTCCGTCCCCACATAACAACCTGCCCTTTTCCCATACAACGACCTGATATGTCTATGTCTCACTTAGACATCACTTCCAATTCCAACACCAAAATTTATATATGAAGCAATACATCATGAATCTCTTTACTTTGAGATTTCCAGTGCCAAAGAGGTGGCTATTGAAACTAATTTCAAGTATCTGACCATCAATTCATAAAAAAGATAATTTGTAAGTTTTGGAAGTGATTATTTATAATTATGATCAGTAGGGAAGGAGCCGATGCCCCTGAGTTTAACCGTCGGAGACCGCAGTTAAATTAGATATCGTTAGGACTTGAGGTGATGTTGGTCTGCTAAATATTCGTATAAATTGATCTGGGTCGATTATCATAGCTTAAATATTCCATAATTTATTTACGAAATAGTCTTTGAGGTGATGGATGAGCGCTACGAGACAAGTTCGCGCCTGGCAGTTATTTGTGACGGCTTCGTAAAAAGTGAAAATGGTTTGCATTTTACCTTAACTGACCAGGGATGTCGCAAAATATTTCGACATTGTTTGATAGCTACCAATACAGTAATTCATCGCCACCAATTTTTATTGATATGAAGTGTAAGCCAGGGCAACTACAATTCAGTCGATAGAAGGTATGTATTTATGCTTAAAGACGGTTTGGCATGAAAAATTCCACGGCATAAAAATTTGGCTCTGACGCAACACGCAAATGTTTGAATGTAGTCGCGACACGCGCATGTTTGATCCTTGTCGCTCATGAAATTTCATCGAATGTACGTATAAGATCATGGCCGCTCATGTGATTTTTAATTAAGACTACTATTTACTAACAAGTTCGATTTACATCACTGTGTGAGCCTTTACAGCCTTCACGTTCGCTATTTTTTTACAAAGACAAGTGTACAAAAGGAGGAGCTTTTAGCGAATCGGTGGAGTAAAATATAGAAATATTGGCGCAGTCATGAGGCTTAATCGTTTAGTCTCTTAATTAAAATACCTTATAAGTCTTGCTACACTCATACTACTTTTTAAATGAAAATTCGTTCTTCTTTAACGATAGTAAATCTCGAAAGAGCTACTGTGCACATCATCCTATATATCACACAATGTCATAATTAAACTGTTTTATAAGCCGTACGCAGTTACATGACTCTTACTATATCCCATATTACTAAACGACAGATCGGAAAATATAAAACCACAACTGAACCAGCAATCTCTATTACAGCTGGCATCCACATTAGATGATAAGAGATCCCTATACGAGCGGGCATTTGAGTCTAGATTATCCATCTTTTCGCTACACGATTACTACAGATATCGCCGTTGTAGCGAACGAAAAATGATATTAAACACTTAAATGACAAATACAGAAGACCGCACACGGGCATTTAAGCGACAAAGAAGCACAACTCCGTGTATTGATTGTCTAATGGCTGTTGTCAATCGCGATCGTATCTAGGAAAAGCGACTTCATTGCTCACAAGACGGCTTTATTTAAACCTCGCTCGAGGTTTTTTTATATATAGTCATAGTACGCAATTTCATGACTACGTTGATGACAAGATGTCAAATAATCAGACAATATGCACAATGACGCCATTCATTTTGTGTTTTTATAATTAATAAGCTGTTTTACACGAAGCAGGGCGTAAAGCTACTGGATTGAGGTAGATGTAAACTTAGAAAGTACAACGCTTAGCGATCTCGTCCTAACAATGAATCCTGCTGTCAAAGAACTGAACCTTGTAGAAATACAGATTGCTACAAAAGAGCGAACTAGGTTTTCGGAAAACGTTACTCAGACTACACAATTCGTGAAGTTATAAATGCAACGCACTGTGAGAAATGATTACTTGTGCCTGCAAATCAGTAACATCATCGACATCCTTCTACAGTCCGAAATTAAATGCGCAAATATTCATTTTCTTCTTGGTACGTGATCAAAAACATCTTTGTTTCATTGCCTAATCACTTTTTGACTCGATACACTGGATACGACTTGCTACTCCCGGCGTTGCGCGACATTTAATGAATACCTCCTACAGAACAGACACATAACCAACCAGAGATCAAAGTCTTGTTGCACGTTACTTGCTAGCATCGTGACAAACGTATCCATTTCGAAAAGGGCGATGGACTTTGCATTAGCGTTTACTGTAACGGGGCAGCCCGTCACATGGAATTGTCACTATATGAAAAGTGACAATAAAGAATATTATGTTGAATATTCTTTAAACAATATCACCGAAGCGGTGATTTTGATGGGTCGACCAAAGAGTCTGTTTATTGGTTGATATCTTGATGATATTAACCCACCAATCGCCGCAACACGCGCGCAATGAGTGGTGACGAGACGTCACCATACACTCAGTTATATTAGTATAATTAAGTTAAGGCAAACAGAGAGACAGTAGTTAAAAGACTTAATTATATTAATATAATAGTTCTGCTTTTACCCCACCTACGCTTCCTCGCTTGCCTTGTGTACGTCTGTCGGGGCACCAATACCCTTGCGTTAAGTTCACGCAAGGGTGTGCCCCGTTACATTTACAAAGTTTTGTGATCGGCGCTATAGTGGTCGCAAGATTTGTGTTAAGTGTGTGTCGTAGGTAGCCCTGCTGTGCTAATGGGAGAAATCGACACGCACTCGTAGCGCTTGACCTCTGCAGCGGTGTCTTCAGGCTACCGGCGTTGACGTTTTGGAGAGGTGATGAGTGACAAGATATACCTTACAGCGATGCTGATACCCAGAGTCTAGGTTCAGAGGAAGCCTTATGCCTTGAAGAGTCGAGGCGTTGGACTCGACTGGTCTAGAGTTTTGAGAATAAAAGATGCAGACTGAGAGAGAGTCCCGTCCTACAAGGAGCTCAAACGATTCACATGAACCAACAACAGCAAGCCGTGCTCAGCAGCAAATGCATCTGCAAGGCTTGCAGTCTGCCTTGCTCAAAGCGTGGGTGACTTTTACGAGCTTGGCGTCAAAGGCGGTTAGTAAAGCGACTTATAAGTCCATCACACAACAAACTAAGATTGATTGAATACGAACATGTTAGTTATTCGGCCCGACAGCTAATTCTGTACCAAAGCGATGTACGCGTAAAACTGGTGGTGACAAAGCAGCCGTCTACTGATGTAACACAATCATCGCTGCCCAAGTACGCTTTCTGGATAGATTAATTTCCAAGTGCACTCATTGTCACCGCGCCGGGAAACAGTTGGATCGACCGACATTTCCGACCGTAACAGCTGTCGTTGCCCCACAGACTTTCGTCCGCCGATATGTCTACCACATGTAACGCGCAACACACTTCAATTGGCCGTGTATTTCCTAGCAACTCGTTGGAAGAAAATTGACTGCCACGATTGCAATAATCGGCACGCCACGAAAATGCGCCGACGTTTCTTCTGAGCTGTAGAATTCTTGTACCACAAAGCTTGTTCCTGTCTGATGCGCATATATCGTCAAGCCGAGACGCTTTCCGTACCAAGCAGCGCGTTGCCAATCACTAAGCAGCGCAACGGTTGATAGCGAACGACAATCGTGACAAAAGCACCAGGTGCAATCGAACAAATACATTGCATCATCTCCTCCGTATGGCTTTACCTCACTCAACCTCTACCACAAGACGCGCGAGCTCGATTTTGTCCAGCAACCGAACTCAATTCACTGCCACAGCGTTAGCACGCGTCTGCTCCAGTGGCGTGGTCTTGAGCTGCACAAACAGTTGGCGCATCCTCGAGACGTCCTCCTCGTCCACGGACGTTTTCGTTGCCGACACGACCTCATGTTTCGGATCCTGCTGCTTCGAGTCTTTGTTGGTATCAAGAGCCGCAAGTCTCTTTTTGCGATTCGTCTCGAGGTCCACGAGCGTCACCACGCGCTCCCACGGGTTCTCACTCTCCAAATCGGCCGCCATCTTCTCCAGTGCAGCTTGTTCAAACACGCGATTCGCCTGCATCTTGGCCTCCTTAATGCGCTGTCGCTCCGCAACAAACTGTGCCATGTCGTCCTCGGCCTTCGCCTTGCACTCGACCGCCACTTGCTCCTGCTCCTGCGCCTTGAGCACAATCTTCTGCTCGTACTCGCGCATGAACACCCTGCACACAACAACACAATTGTCACCGTCAGCCGTCGCTTCGTCTGCTTCCTCTTCCCTCCAGTGCCGCCTCAACGCTCTCTCAAGACCCAAGCGCCAGTGTACGTACGTGAGCTCGTTCTCCTCTTCGATCAGCGGAATGTGCGCAGAAGTTGCCATCGACGGCCGGCTCGTCTGCACGTGGCCAATCAGCTCTCCCTGCTCCTCGAACGAGTATCCTGACATTCCCTCCATATGCTGATACGACTCCTCCGTCGCTTGCGTGTGGTCTGCTGGCGCCACGTCGTAGAAACTGCACAGCATCGCAAGAAGCCATACACGAACCACATCGAATCAGGAGACGCAGTATATGCAGTTTCACAGGACACAACAAACGCTCTTTCAAGCGCCACACGCACTCGCCAGCAGTGTCTCCAGGCGTCGGCGCAAAGTCCGCGACCTCCTGAGACACGTCGTCGCCGTCCGCCGCGTAGTCGTCTCCGAACGGGTCCATCGCTGCGTCGGAAGTGAATGTGCCCAAGAGCGAAATCGGAGCTCTTCGCGTTGGCCGTCGACGCTGTGTGCCCTTCTTCGAGAGTGGACGGCGAACCTGCAGTACGGACTTATGCCGAAGCAGAGTGTGCGATCGTGCGGGATCCCTTGCGTGTGTGGTACACATCCCGTGTCGAGCGGTTGTGCCTCGAGATTGTGTGTCGTCCACGAGGTGGTGTGGTGCACGTACGCATATGCGTCGAAACTGGTGGCCAGCGTTCGAACAGAGTTTGTGCGTGGGGACTGCCCGTTGTCCATAGAGTCGCGTCACGAGGTCGCCACAGTAGGAAAGCCGAATTACGCCGACGTCGAGATGGTGAAGCAGAAAAACCACACCGCCCGTAACAATACGGTGAAGGCCCACCGCAACGGGATCAAGAAGCCAAAGATCCACCGCTTCACCTCGACGCGAGGCGTACGTGTTGTAGTCACAGCTGGCAACAGTCGATATGAGGCGAGTGCCTTTGCTAGAGCTGAGCACGAACTGACTCGCGTGTGGACTGTCATGGTCCTTTGTTGATGTGCTGCAGCTGGACCCCAAGTTCTTGCGCAACCAGCACTGGGCCAAGAAGTTTGACAAGAAGCACCGCAACCGCAAACTGAAGAACAAGGTTTGTGGAAACGCCACTACTGTTTGCATCATTGATGCACCTCTTCGTACTCGAGAAGAGGTGCATGTGCACTTGCGACTCGGTATCTGATCGTTCTTGTGTGTCGTGACGTGTCTGTCTATACTACTGCAGGAGGAATAAGTCTGTGCCTTGTCGACGCACTAGCAGAGACGTTTCGTGCATGTCAGCTGATTTCGCATGATCATCGAGATCGTTCAGTCGATGGGTGGGCGATACGCTGATTTTGTGAACAGCTGGCAATGACGCAGTGAGTCTCGTGTCGTGTGGAGAGGAAGCAGGTGTGGTGTTTGCAGGCATAGTGATGGTGAACTGCAGTGGCGTGACTGGGTAATGTTGAGGTTCAATCTCGGGCACTTGAAGATGGCACCTGTGCAACTGCAGTACCTGAGATTTTGACGCATTTGTTGTTTATTTCCGTCGATCTGAATGTGACAGCAATCGCGTGGTCCGAATAGTGCACAATGCGGCAGAGAACTTAGTCGGGTGTTGATGATAGTCTTCTGACACCTGATGCACTGTGGTGGCTGTGGTGAAAGAGTGTGGAAATGATGTATATATCTTATCTACATTCTCCGATTAAAGCGTGAGGATAGACATCAAAAACTGATCCACTTCAATATTAATCACTACTATGGTTTTTTTTTCCACAATTATAATGCTAGACAGTATATAACCTCGGCATTTCGAATCTAGCACAAATGTGGGTTACTTTGCATCAAATATACGTGAATATGTAAACTATGCTGCGCCTTGCGTGGATCGATAGCCAAGTGTCTGTCCGAATCTCCATGTACGTTGCATATTGTGAAGGATTTCGACGAATTTGGCTCCTTCGCAATTTGCCAAATGTTTAACTTATGGGATTGTAATAAATATATTGAATGTTACGAAAATAAACAGATAAAAATAAATACCACAAGATCGAAAAATACACAATAATATACCGAGCTGTTTACTATACGCAAAATTACACACCCTATTTGTATCATATAGCATCTGTGTAACGAAGTAATCCCATTACATAAAATTATATAGGAATGTATCAATTTTTAAATTTTATCTAGTTTAAATAATATGTATAGGTAATGATATTTCGCCCCCCTTTTTACTAATTTACCCTTTGGAGCCAAAACAGGGGGCCTTCTAGTTTTCATAACACAGGCGATGCCCAAAGTCACACACCGCGTATGGCTATTGTATAACAAGATGATCTTGCGTAAAACATTGTTCCACGTCTGTTTGAAATATGCGCGTTGGGATCATGCGTCTTCAGTTGGCGAATAACAAGTAATCACGGATGGTTGAGACACCAATACTGCAGTTGTGTGAGTTTCTAGATACGGATATCTAGAAGCTAGTATATATATACCTGCTTGCAGTACTACAACAAGTAGGTGAGATCAACAGAGAAAGCTGAACGATAATTCACTTAATATTTCGTGCTGCAGAAGACAAGCGGGGCTCTAAGTCTTACACAATGTACGTATTGTCTAAAAGATGGATTATACTCTCGGTTAGAGCTGACAACAATGAAGAATGTTATCTGATAATGTCAAGCGGATGACGAGTACGCCTAGGATGCCCGGAAGATGAATGCTATAGATTTAGAACCCCGCGAACGACAGTTGCGCACGAGCGTGATCTAAAGAGGCGCTACACGACTGTGCAGTTTTTGTATATTGCTTCATGCGATCGTTTTACATTGCCGTGGTTGCGTACGAATTAGAGCACATGATGGTACATAATCTAAATACTTACTCCAATAAAGGGATCAAGACGAAGAATATGAAGAATAGCAAAAACGCGTTGTTTATGAAATACTGACCCTACATCAGCTCTACGATAATCGGGAACAAAGCAGACTGCGAACATGCTGATTCTCCTACAGTACTACCCGCAGGTGCGCTTCCGTGTTGCTTTGTTGATTTTCTGTTATCTTAGTGTGTTTGTAAGTTCGTAAACATGCAGTTAACGATACATAGACCACGATACCCTGTCCGCTATGACCAATGAGTGATGCTTGATTTACTGGGCCCACGCCTATAACCGATTCGACGATCGCTGTACATTTTTAAGTATCTCCTACAACCTTGAAAAATTGGTGCATGAGCGCTTGTTGTACCCATATTGTCTGCAGACACTGCACTTCCGAGTCAAGATAGCAGACCTCTCGATATACTCAAATGCAGACGGGTTTCGCAGCTGCTTTTGTCGGTTCGTTGCTCCGGATGGTCTTTCTTTTATGTTTTGTTTTTACTAGATCTCTCACCGACACGCTTGGACCCGTCGATATTGTATCAGTGATGTGGGCTGGAATAGCAATTTTGTTATGAGTCTGTGATGAGTCAAATACTCGAAATAGATGTGGTACCAAGTCATCAATTCGAACATTGCTTTTGACATCTCCCGCAGCAGAAGCAGACGTAAACTTTTCCAACCACCAATGCGAGTCGAAATCTTTGGTGTGAAGGGTGCATCAGCGTTGATTCCTTTTTTTGCAGATTGCTTATACGGTAGGCCGATAGCCAATCGGAATTTGGAATCGCATTGATTGGTAGATGCATGGTGATCGTGGACGAGGGTGAGCGCATAAGATAAAACCTGATACGAAACATGGATAGATATAGGCGCTGCTGCGTATGTTGGTCGTTCCGTGAGATCATCAGCGTGCATCTTGTTCAGCTCCACCACTTGGTGCTCGATCGCCAAGTGGAGACTTTAGAACACTATGAGAAGATCACCATCCGACAATCGCAAAAATCGCTGTGAGTACGATTGTACTGACTCAGCTCTAGATGTAGTGGAACAGCCAAGGTGGAAAAATTCTTCCACCCACGCTTCAACAAACTTCTCTTTGTGCTTGACCCACGTTCAATCTAGATAGCGTGTGATGAAAGGGAGATGTCGGTAAATTGGTCTGAAATTCGTCCCATTGTGCTTCGAAAACTTCGACACTTATCTCAAAGCAGAGAGCGCTCCAGTCCGCGATCATCTCTTCCCATTCATCGCTGTTCGTAAGGTGAACTTTGCACCTGGCAACAACATTTTTTTGTGCCAGCGGCACAGCAATCCAATCGCATTCGGATATACTTGCTGCTCAGCGTTTAAGAGAGCCGAACTGTTGTCGCTGACCAGAATTCGCAAAATTTCGTCATATCTTCGATTTTTTAGCACCTTCTTAAGAGCTGTTAAAGGCCATTCGTCGTTCTTCTCTTCCTACCTTGGCATAAATGTTGCGCAAATGAGAAATGACTTGCCAAACGGGGTGACCCCGACACAATTGAGCATGGTCATCTTGAGCTTTTTTGTCTATTACGTGCAGTTAAGTACGATGACGTCACAGAACTCTGCAGCAGGGATTGAGGATTTGCAACAATCAAGCGGCAAATTTGACCCTTTGCGTCAAGACTGAGATCATAGCAGTAGTCTTTTGCTTACAGCTCGTCGAACAGCGCTTAAATCGGCATATGTCATTCAAATACTCTCTGCGCCCCTTCTGTTTGTCATTGCATATATACCTGCGTACGCTGCAGGAGTCCGGATACTGCTGTACGAGGAACGCAAGTTGATCTTTTGGCCGCACACTTGCTCTCTGTCCCCGAATGCGCTTGCTTTGTTGCACAATTGTTAGCTGTCCAGCTCGAGAATGCATGTCGATGTTTGTGGACATGTCATGGTTGTGGGCTTCTACATGTCGAGTCACCTGCCACATCTTGTCAACCCCGATCTGTCACGCTATCAGTCGGTACTCGCATCCTGTACGTTTTGTCTTGGTCTTTCGCGCGACAGCAGCAGTCTTGTACGATCCCGCTTGGTCGCACACAACAATCATTTTACCTATTTTATAGTCAGACTTGAAGTTATAGATAGATAACTTAAGCTGTGCGCTTTCAATTGGAGAGCCGTGAACATCTCCATTGATTAGTACTTGACTTCAAACATCCTATCAGACTCCATCATATATCAGGCAGTTCCTTTTTGTAGATGTAAAACTATAAAGGGAAAGGTTGTTCGTGGTACCAATTGATATAGATGCCATTATTGATTCCGTATAAGTTGTAAAATACACCCTGCTTTGGTTCTAGGGAGGTGAAAATAGTAAAAATGGGGGGGGTGAACTATCATTAAATATATTTAATTGACATTACCCGAAAAGAGGTAATGTTGGCCAAATATTGTTCCCGAGGGTAATATTCTTGGGTGCTCTACTTCTTGGTTGGTGTACACGTTACATCATCCAGATTGACCACCAATCGCTGCTGGACGAGCGCAATGGGTGTACGCAAGATACCCACATAGGAGATTGTAGTTTTTATATTGAGATAAAGACAAAGATAGGCTATCAAATCAACATAAGTATTTTATATACAGCTCTACTTTTTTCTTAAGTACAGCTTCCGAATTCTATTTAGTTACTCGCGCTTCCTCGCCACGTGTACGTGACGTCGGGAGTAGGCAGCTCTGTGTTACATTCACTAGGTCTTGGCAGTCATCTGACAAGAGTGTGCCACGTGTCAAATAGTCATATTTTGCAAAATAGACAATGCTGCCACGTAATAAACTTTTTAATGAACCATCTACTCTTTTTTCTTATTGGCCACACATCAGCACTTGTGATTGCGCACATCAGAAACAAGGATTTAAAACGACGACTAGAAGAAGCAAACTAGCAGCTTCTTCGAGAGAAGATGTTGCAGTAACGAAAGCGACATCATTCAAGCTGAAATTGAAATTAACCGACAGTGAACCGACCCTATCTTGTTTGATTAAGCGATAAGCGACGTTACAAAGATGTGTGCAAACAAGATGACTGCTCGTTCACGGTGCAGTTTGCCTATTCGCAAATATTCCACCCTCTAGCAATTGTTTTGTATTTCTGTCAAGTTTTGGGATCCTCCATAGCTTCTCCTGGATATGCAAGTGCGAAATAAATTGCTGTAAACCCTGCAGTCAAAGATATAGCCATGACCTCCGGCAGAAGAGTGACACCTGTGGTAATCCAAACAAAATTAAAGAATGAAGGGATTTCTACCTCCTAAATGAACTGTGTTTATGCGCTCAAAAGGATA